GATCATTATGTTAACGCGTTGAATAATTACATCGCTGAAGATGATCGAATTATGAGCTTTATCACGAGCTACCCTAGTGTTCATCTTAACTCAACGTCTGAGGCTACGGATTTTTCGGAGAAATTTTTGAGGAATGTGCATTCAATAATGGAGACTGATGCATTTTTGATGACAATCCCGAGGTCTTTCTTTTCAAAAAAGGACATTCTTTTAAGCGTATGGCCACTTGTAAAGAAACGTGAGTATCATAAAGTCGAAGAATATTTGTTGACAAAACCTTTTGTATATACATTTCCAAGGAATTCGTTTTTCTTAGATAGAGTAAAACGGTTGATTATGCTTTTTATCGAATCAGGACTCTCAGGCAAACTTTTAGAATATATCATGCTTGATGGGCATCTCCAAGCCACACCACCGCCTGTAGATGATGGCGAACCGAGACCGTTCAATATGAATGATTTACAGTTGGGCTTCATCAGCCTCGTTGTAGGTCTATTCATAAGTTTCCTGGTATTTATTGCGGAGGTACTCAACGATTACTACAAGCACATAGTTTTTTTAAAACACGTAAGACGGTTTACTGTGTATGTTAAGTCTGAATTCAAGAAGGGGTATATTAATGCGATCACCGCTATTCAGGGACTATTTCGATCTTAGAAATTGTAAATTAAGTCAGCCCTCATAAGTATGATAAGCTCATTGATAGTTGTAAGGGTATCCCTAGGCCGCTAAAAAAAAAAAAAAAAAAAAAAAAANAAAAAAAAAAAAAAAAAAAAAAAAAAAAAAAAAAAAAAAAAAAAAAAAAAAAAAAATTGAGGCGTAACTGTTTTTGGGTTGCGATAAACAGGTACAATGTTGTGAAAAACTGTTTTGTCAATATTTGGGTGAATTCTTTGCATTAATAAAGGAACCTCAAGTCAAAATGATAATGTTATTATTTTTAATGTGCGCACTTAAACAGTGCATTTAGGTGGAAAATGAAAAGATCTACATTTCGATGGTGAAAGTGCAGAAGTGCGTATCACGGAAAACACGATTTTTCAGGAGAGTAAAAAAACTGTCTACATTCCTCCTTATTGTCAGTAGAAGGGTAATAATTCTTGAGGATAGCAAGAATAAGATGCTTTTTCAGACTTCATCAATATTTTGAATAATTTCTCGCACTGTTAGAAAATACGGCCGAAATGCCGAGATTCTCGTTTTGGGCACTAAGAATTGACACTTTATCACGAGATACGCATTTCTGCAATTATTGTTTTAAACCGGTTGTTGGCAGATTTTGATCATTTAAAAACTGAAAAAAGGGTTTCATGCTTATAGTTCTTTATCAGAAGTTTTAGTTTGACCTCATACGGCCGGTTCAAGCATTGTATGATTGGAAACTGACATTAGATTACGAGATACGCATTTCTACAATTATGCAGCGTTATGCAGCGTGTACCTATGCAGCGTTTTAAAGCTACTCTTGATCATTAAGATCAAAAATAGAATTTATTCAACCTTAAAACTTATTTAGAAGCTTTAGTCGATCCAATACACTAAATGAAGCATTGTTTGACCGGATTGACTCTAATAAAACTGACCGTTCTGATGAACCGTCAGTTCAATCAGTTCATGATTGCATTGGCCCAGAGAGTAAAAATGGACATGAATGCCGCGCCCTGCTAGTAGGTAGTAGATACCTATGATCCTATGAAGAAATGATACTGGAGGGCCCTCGAGTGATAATCCGCTTTCAATTACAAGCGTATGCAACATTAATGACAAGTAACAGTACCTAATCTCCCCTTCCCTCGTCTGTCGGCCTATCACCAGCATTCACTGATATTATGCATGCTGGACTGCCTGATTATCCACATTTATCCACATCAACTTTTCTTTTAGATAGATAAATGAAAACCATTGAAAACAAACACAGAACAGCCCTGATCGGGAGGCTGTAAACTGCCACTCATTTCCTGGAAACATGGACAACTGCCCCCCGTATAAATTTGAAAACTGCCACCCGACTTGACAACTGCCCCCCGTGTAAATTTGACAACTGCCACCGGTAGTGACAACTGCCACCCGTTGAAATTTGACCAAGGAGCGCGATTGAGCGGGGTCGCACAGTTTACCAAACTTTCCTTCACACTTGGACAGGCTGAGGACTGTCTACTGAAAATCAACACATGATAAGAAATTGAGCAGTGTCTGTGATGATTTTTAATAGCCGTGTTTAAAAGTTATTTTTTAATACAATTTTTTTAAAATTTTTTAATATGGTGAAAAGAGGTCAATGGGCTCTTAGTTGAAAGTAGTGAAAAATTGTAAAAAGTATTTTTACAGTAATTTACAGTATTTTTATAGTAAAAAATAGTTAAAGGTAGTAAAATTTTAGTAAAATTACAGTCAAAGAGTACATCACTACTAGGAGCTTTTTTCATCATTTGGCATTACTCTTAGTTGAAAGTAGTGAAAAATTGTAAAAAGTATTTTTACAGTAATTTACAGTATGTTTATAGTAAAAAATAGTTAAAAGTAGTAAAATTTTAGTGAAATTACAGTCAAAGAGTACATCACTACTAGGAGCTTTTTTCATCATTTGGCATTACTTTTGTTATTCTTTTTTTTTTCTTTTTTACCTTTTGAACTTTCTTCTGACTTTTACCTTCTTTCTTTCTGGTGAGGTTGGTGGGATTTTTGGCGAATTTAGTGGAAATTATTTTCATGAAGTCATAAAGGGACATCACTTCGTCTTCTTTGTTGGGGATTTTTTCATCAAATCGCTTGATGACAGCATCCACCCACTTACTTTTTTTCTTTACCTGGGATCTCCGAAAATCTCTAAATGTTTCAGACGAGTTAATTTTAATGCAGACATTATCTTATTATTTCTACTTCTCCTGGCTTGAGATTCACAATCAGTCTTCCCATAATACCGCTTCGACCCTCTGTGCGCCGAAATTCATGTGGGTGGCAGTTGTCAAATTTACACGGGTGGCAGTTTTCACTACCGGTGGCAGTTTTCAAATTTATACGGGTGGCAGTTTTCATACAAATTTCTTGAAAACTGCCACCCGGGTGGCAGTTTGCCGTCGCCCCAGTTGATCAGCTGATGTGCGGTGTTGGCGGGAAACGCTGCTGAGGAGCGCGCGTTGTGATTGGTTGTGCGTAAGGCGCTCCGAAAAATGAACAGGCCTGAACGAGATACGCATTCCTGCACTTAAACCCGAGATACTCGAAAAAAGTTCTACGGTTTTAGGTGACTTCCCGATTTTTTTCGATTTTAATCTCTTGCTGGCTGATAGACGACATCTTCAACTACACGTTTATGCAGCTAACTCAAAATTGTCAAAAATCGAGATACGCAATTCTGCACTTCACCATCGATTTGTAAGGTGGGGTTAAATTTTATTTTGAAAAATATATTGTGCTAAAATACAAATAAAATTCAACAGAATAAAATATACCTGTGCATTTTTTTCTAATATCTGAAGCTTTGTTTAAACATACCGTTATAAATTACTAATATTTCTCTAAAATGGGGTGGGTTGAATATTAAAGAGTTTCGCAAGGGAAATAATGAATTTTGGCCTTCAATTACGGTCTGATGGTGGGGCGTGAAATCCAAAATGGTGACCAAATGGGTTTGTTGCATACGGACTTTCTACAGTGAATTTTACACGAAAATCACGAGGCTGAAATCCATTCCGTAGTGCACAAAATCTGTGTAGTTCATAATCCGCTTTTTCAAATTTCACACGCCCGATGGCAGTTTTTTCCAGTCGCCGTTATCTGCTCAGAAATATCCAAGAGAACCTAATTTAAAAACGTGAGTGAACAATCTGCGAACTGTTACTAACTTTGTATACGAATGATGGAAATTGACTTTGAAGCCTTTGTCTCTGCAAAAATAAAACGAACGATGAGGACACGAACGCTTAAAAATGATTCATATCATACTCGAGAAAAATTGTACGAGATCAGTCTTTTACGTATGTTGGTTAGGTTTTCTGGGCCAACCTGGTTGTACCGCGGTGCTATAGCCTTACCTTCACTGACGAGGAGGGAAAGACCAACGCATTTGATAATGCTAAACACAATCACTTGAAAACATTATTCATTCAAAGATTGCATCATGTGCTTTCAAATTATTGTACTTTACGTTACACCGAAATAAAGTGAAATTGATCTGATATTTTTTATGTAAAAAAAGTGTGCAAGAACTCGCAAAATGCTGAATTACCCGCTGTAGCAGTTAGTTTTACATCTTGACATCACTATAGCAACTGTTTTTCACTTTTTTTCGGTGAAACAATTATTAAAAGTTTATTTTGGGGAATATGCATCGAACAGGTGGCGTTCGTCGAAAACCTGGTCTTTATGTATTAGCGTAATTCCATGCACAATGGATAGAACTTTTTTCCGCGTCAGACCTGTTAACATGATTTGAAAGGCACGGAGAGTAAAGAATTCGTGTTCTGCGGAATGATTATGATAGATTCCAGGTCCTATACCTATTTTCTAGTCATATAGTTGCAATGTTATCACAAAAGTGATATTGGACCCACAACTAGAATTACTAGAAATGTGGGTGGCTTCTGGCAATATAAGCATTGAAAGAGCGACGATTCTTTTTTCTCCGTAGTCGCAGAATTATTTTGGCTGCGTGTGAAAGCACAATTTTATCGACAACATTTCACGCTTAAAACTAGATCACTTCAAAGTGGCACGGCGCGGTGTTGGTTGCAAATCACAGTTCACGCAGCTGGGTTTATCGTATATTCCAATGGATTGCCGCACAGCACCACAATTTTGCAAGTTTTTAGCCGATCCAGCTGAAAGTTCCAAAAGCTCAGCTCATTATCCACCTGTGAAGCCTCAAGTTGCATAATGAATCGGTCAATTTTAAAATCGAACAAGTCAAGCCCTGCAAGCTAAGCAGTCTTATGTAGCGTAGAGCTCATCATAACGTAGACTTGTTAGGTTTCGACGTGGATTAATTTCTCTCTGTTTTAACAGTTTTGAGTGACCATCAAATTGAGGTTACACCATGTGTTAAAGGAACAAAGAGGCCTTGAACATCTGCATATTTGGCTGTTGGAAGAAAGACACTCTAAGAATTCTTGAAATTTTCTCAGCCGTTCATCTTCTCTTCCACAAGTGTTAACACTCACGAAGACTAGAACTCCCGAAAAAAGGAAATTTTGCTCGTGAGAAAGCTCCTATACTTTTTGAGTTTTCCAACAACACAATATCAGAGCAAGATTAGGTATATTAAGAAATGGAGGCAACTTTGCCGCAGGAAGTATAAAACGCGCATATGTTCAAACGAATCCGCTTTGGGCTGAGGTATCTCTATCCACGTCTCCTGTACATTCGAGTGAGTAAACAAAATTCTTAATTTTAGGCGCATGCATTTAATATTTTTACTCAACGAGGGTTGTTGTTTTGATTTGTTTCAATATAAAGGGGGAAGGGGGAGAATATTACCAAACCAAGGAGCTTCAAACGTTGCCAAATTTCTGCTGATGAAGTTTGAGCTTTAGGGAAAGTTGTTGGTTGTTCTTATTTGAAATTTTCAGAAAACTCTCAAAAATTTGAGCCTGTACACTTAAAAATTTCAAGGGAAAATAGGCAGATTTTTTTCAAAAAGAAATGTATTCTTTTGGGAGCGATTTGGTGATGTTTTAATGCAAATCAAGATAGACGGTACTTATTTGATGAATTCGCCCTCTTTAAACCTAAAAATAAATTCGTATAAAAAACATTTGCAAATTTACAAAAAAATCCATAAAATTTATAAAATTTGAAAAATCTATGAAAAATGAAAATAAATAAAATCTATAAAATTTGAAAAATCTATGGAAAATGAAAATCTATAGAATTTGGTCGACCTTTTCATCTTATAGCACTAAAACTGATGAAATTTACCATTATCCTCGTATCTTTCTCAAACATTTGCACTTCCAAAGACTTTCAGAAGAATACATGCTTTTACATTTTTTGTGGTCAAGAAGATTCAGATTTTATTTTTTCGTTTCAATTACAAGAAAATGTAAAGGAAAAAACAATGTGATACGGTGGAATTACAATTTTATTCAGATAGTCGCATACTAAGTACGTCGTTTTATTATTTTTTTTTTTTTTTAATATTTGTCGCACGAATTTATTTCATACGGATAAGGAGTGAAATCCAAAAGAACAGAGTTCATGTGGAAAGAAAAATTAATTCTACAAGGGGCGTTCAATAAGTAAGTATCCCCCCTCTCTAAAATCGATAGGAATAGACCAATTTTAAAACACTTGGGCTCAAAATCTTCCCTCACGGTTCGTTTCAGAGGGAGGTAAATGAAATTGTGTTGCCCACTCAAAATTCCTTCGGGATCTTGAAGTTGGATGCACACACAGTCATTTAAGCCTAAAATGAAAATATTCTGTCGAGCTCTGCGAAAATAAAATCGATTTTTGTGTTTTTGGCACTAAAATGGCCTTCAAAGACGATCGATTATTAAAGTCCGATGGGTTGTGCATATGTAAAATGGTACATGTGTGACTCTACGTATTTTTGGACCAGGAATCGATTGAGCAGGGTCCTGAATCGGTCCGAAGCTCCATTGACCGAAAAATGGGCCTTTTTTTGGATTTTAGGGGTGCTTTGGCCCAGTTTCCCCCAATTTTGGCGTGAAAAAACCTATGTGCCGTCATGGGTAATGATTATCGGGTCATTTCGGGCGGACCATCGAATGCTTATGGTCCCGAGACACTCCGGGGCTTCCGGAGTGATACAGGGTTTTCGAGATTCAGGGGATCAAAGTCCCCGATTTTTACTCAATTCTGCAGGTATTTTAATGTTCAATTCCGACTATAAATTGTTTTCTGATTTAGATATCGAAGCGCATTTTGCGGTGGTTGATTCAGCTACGTGTGGTGGATTTTTCTACACATTTCACAAACCCTCACTTTTCATTTACCTCCCTCTGAAACGAACCGTGAGGGAAGATTTTGAGCCCAAGTGATTTAAAATTGGTCCATTCCTATCGATTTTAGAGAGGGGGGATACTTACTTATTGAACGCCCCTCGTACTCTGTGAGCGATGTTCACTCTGCAGTTTGCAGCTAGAGTAAACTCCGTCCTCTACTCATATCATTTCGGTTTACGGGGGCAAAATAGACTCTAAAAAGGGGCGCCAGATTTTAATCCAAGAATTGGACTGATTGTGAGTTTGACAGAAAAGCGCCGAGTCGCATTCTGGAAAAAAAAGTTAGGAAATGGTCAGGAAAAACTTTGAAATCAATTAGTCGTAGAGTTTCCTTCATGAAAAATTCAAAGTTGAGAAAAAATATCTTGGCCATGAAAATAGGTACCTATTCATTAAACTTTGCTTTCAACATGAAGTTTTATGTAAAACTAAAACTTTAAACCTCCTTTCGGTTCAAAGTTTGCGGTGGCTGAGCGCATTTATCTCTTAAATACATTTTATTGCCAAATTTAGCTGGCTAAGCTGTCTAGAACATCGTAATTGGATAAAATATCGAGCTACAAGCCAAAATAAACATGTATTAGTGTTACATTTTAGTTTGAAATAATACCTCTTTATTTTGGCTACAACAATGAAAACACACTAAAATACAAATGGGTATACAAGGCTATAGAGGATAAATTAACAACCAGGACGTTTCGGGCCAATTACATGCCCATTCTCAACTGGAACAAAAGCTAAAGCCTTCATTAATTTTTACGTTTTTACATTAATTTTTACATTTTTTAGCTTTTGTTCCAGTTGAGAATGGGCATGTAATTGGCCCAAAACGTCTTGGTTGTTTATTCATCCTCTATAGCCTTGTATACCCATTTGTTTTTGTATTTTAGTGTGTTTATATTGTTGTCTGCATTCGGGCTATTGCGTCTCTCGCTCTTTTATTTTGGCTTGTAGCTCGATTTTTAATCAATTACCGTGTTTTATCTCTTAAACTTGGTCCAAAATTAATAATGCATACGTACATGTTCTTAATTTTCCAACAGGTTGCCATAAGATGAAACGCAGCTTGCGGATTCTATTCCTCAGCATACTACCCATGCTCCAAGTCTCCGGGTACCAAAATTGCGGCAAATGCTGTAAGCTCCCGGAGGACCCGATGTGCCACGACCCCAGATTAGAGGTCGTCTACTTGTACCAGGACCAATGGCCGAACGCATTCGTCATGACCCCCTGCGGCCGGAAATTCTCCTGCTACCCGGCGGGCATCGACTCCAAGAACGTCAACGACGGATGCAACGGCAAATTCCAAGTCGCCCAACTAACCGACTGCGGAGAGGTCGCTTACCCAAACTACTGCATCAACAACCCGGAAGGCGGGGTCATCAGCAACTGCAACGGGACGCTCACAACGAGAGGCCTCAAACACCACTTCATCAGCGTCCAAACCCTGGTCTACGACAAGAAGACGAACCGAATGATGTGCCTGGACGCCGGCCGCGCCAGGACCTGTAATCAGGTCCTCCTCCCTGCATCACGCGGCGGGATAAAACTCGTCGTAGTCGACATGTGTAACGACTGCGTCGCCCGAATTTATTATTTCCCTGAAAACGTCGCGGATCTCCAAAGGTCGTACCTCATCACTCTGGCTTTAGATCCCTGCAAGAACGTGGCGTACATCGCCGATGCGCTGGGGTACTCGATCATCGTCCTAGACCTGTGCACCGGGAAGTCTTACATTGCGTTCCAGGACGAGACCACAAGGAACTATCCACTCGGATTACCTGTCAGTTGGGGTCAACCAGAGTACAGCATCGGTAGCACGGGAGTGTGTTCGCCCATCATATCGTCCATTACGTTGGGCATAACACCGATGTGTCTTTCGCCGTGTGGGGACAAACTCTATTACGCGGGCTTAACGTCGAGGAGGTTGTACTCCGTTTGTACGGCGGCTTTGCTTAACCGTACGCTAACGTTCGCCGATATCGCTCAAACCGTAAGGAACCACGGTGGAAGAGGGATGTCCGAGGGGATAACCTGCGACGAGCAGGGCGTGGTCTGGTCCGGCAGTATGGAGAACAACGCCATCTCGTTCCACAACCCCAACTGCCCGTTCGCCATGAATTGCATTTATATCCGGGACCCCCGGCTTAGTTGGGTGTACTCGCCGATCGCACACGAGGATGGTTATATTTATTTCCTTTGCCCCGACTTGCAAGGGATTTCGTTGGTGTATCCGGGGACGGGTCCAATAGGTGTCGATAGGCGGCAGAAACCGTATGTTTTGTACAGGTTTAAGAGGCCCTGTGGGAGTCTTTGTGCCAGTTTTTGCGACCCGGCGACGCTCGGGTTGGAGGTTTGTCCGCCTGGCAGTTGTAGTTGTAATGGTATTGGAGTTAAAAGTCATTGATGCGAATTTCGCTGAGATAGGACTACACTGAAAAAAAAATTCTCGGCGTTTTTACCAAGGTCCGTTGGTACCTTTACTATCTCACTTTTTTACCAATTATTGGTAATTTTACCAAGACTGACTAATAAGCTTACCTTAAAACCGGTATTTTTACTGTTTTTTCAGGTAAGAATACCACTTTTATTGGTAATCAATTCCCGGTAACTTTGCCATTTTATCTCGGTAATTCTACCACAGTCGATAAAAAATATTGGCGTTTATACCAAGGTCCAGTAAAATTACCGAGAAAGTTCAATAATTTTACCGAGATTTCTCGGTAAAATTACCTATTCCATGAATGGTAATTTTACCAAGAAAAAACTGGGATCAAATAGAACCCTGAATTCTTCGTAATTTTACCCTTTTCTCAGTAAATACACCGAGATTTTTTTTTCAGTGCATGTTTAAATACACCTTGAATCAAATAGACGAATTTCTAAACAATTGAACTGTGTACTGCCGTGCTAAGGAGGAACACCGTATGACATTCGAGAGTGGCCCAATTTCCCTCAATAGAATAATTATTTTTGAAGAAAGCTACGAAAATTTTTCCTTAAAATTTTCAAGAACTTCAGGTGAAATCGCGAGCAAAATTATCTGAAAAATTGGAGCGGAACTATTCATAAGTTTCCCAAAAAATTCGTGTTTTACGGCAGGACTTTCGGCAATGCCTGAAGGTTTGTACGACGGTCTTCCTTAGCACGGCAGTGTAGGCGGGTGGGAAAGATGGGGTGCGCTCTAGAAAAGTGAACAGGGACAATGCAAAAGTGGACGTAATTCCCTTTGGAGAGATGAAAAAGCTGAATTTTACATTCTACTAAACGGTGTTAAGCAACTGTGTGCGACTAATGAGCCATAGGCATGGCAAAAGAGCATCGTGGACAGGGCTCATGAGATACAGCGGACTACGGGCGACCGCGACCCGCTGACCTGACTGGCGCTTTATAATTCTCATTCATATTTAGGATCCTCGACTAACGAGCACACCCCTTCTTTCCCACCTGACTCTGGTTCCATTTAGCAGAAATACGTCCGAATAACTGAGATATTTTTATTCTGGATGCTCCACAGCCCGTGACGAGGTATACAATTAAAACAGCGAGTGACAAAGCTTTTTTTACCATAAATGACAAGGATGTTTTGGCTGGAGATACCACAGCCCTCTTCAGTTGGATAGAAGAGAATGATTATACATTAAATATTTTAATATTTTAAATTTGTATTTTTTATCATCCAACTGAAGAATAAGGCTGTGGTGTTTCCAGCCGACAAGTATTGGTCATTTGTGTTAAAAAGCCTTTGTTACCTGCTATTTGAATTGTTTTAAATGTATTGTTTATTTATTGCACAGGATAAAGAATTTAAGTGGTCACTAGATTCCTAGGTATCTATGATCTCCAGGAAATATAGTAGTCGGTACTAAATTTTTACAGTGCCTATGACGCTTCTATTCAACATTATAAAATGCAAAATTAACCATGATAGAAATCAAGCGATGGCAATGATGTTTTCTTAAGATCAAATTCAACCCGAAATCTAATAACCTCTAACAATTTGTCCCTCTGTGCGCATTTTTAATCATTCTTCACGGAAAAAGAAAAAAAANAAAAAAAAAAAAAAAAAAAAAAAAAAAAAAAAAAAAAAACTCCGGCCGTGGGAGCCGCAATTGGGGGTTTTTTTGAAACATATACCGTCCGTTCCGGACTCAAAGGCCGAAAATTCCGGCTGCTGGAGGCGTAGCTTCGATTGCTCCGGGTTCAAAGGCCGAAGCTGCGGCTCGGACGGTATGTTAATATGGCCCGTAATTGCGGCTCCCACGGCCGGAGTTTTTTTTTCAGTGTATGTAAAAGGCAAGCCCCAATTAAACAAACTGATTTTCCTTAAGCACGTTTCATCAACGATCTTTATTGCACGACAAATATTGAGCTCTATGGTTGATGTTATGCCTTGGTAATTTACAGAAGAAAGAAATAAAAATCAGGAATAAATGTTAGAGATGGCAAACACAGAAAAATTGGTGCAAATGTGGTGTGGTGTGTACCTTTTTGGTGAAAATGTTTGGATCATAGGTTGTTCTCAATGCACTTGTATTGTGAAGATTCCGTAACTTACAATAAGAAACAAAATCTAGCTTAAGCTTAAAATCTTAGCTAACAAATCTAGCAAAATGGAGCTTCATCACATTGCTGAAACTTACAGTTACTTACGACAAGCTGGGCAATGCCGTTGTATTATTGTTTCATAGGTACCACTGAATTGGGCAAACCACGTAAGATGACATAATAAACATAATGCAAGGAGCTACGTAGGTAGATGACTTGAATCCATTGTTTTGTGCGAATACCTGCTTACATTTTATTCAAACCTTGCTTAAAAATAATTGTATTAAATTATGTTGACACTTGTGTTTATAATTTAAAATACTTGTGTAATTTCAACGTGCAAGACCACTGGTATTAAAAATGTATGTCCCTCGCAATTTTACCTGAAAATCAATGTACGATTGTAATAAGTAAATAAAAATTACAAATACTAAAACAAACACAATACTTAAGTTTTTTCAATTTCTCATGAATTTCCAATCATTTTAACTGAGGAATAATCTCTTCAGGTTTTGCGTCAGGTATCTATTGGCTGGAATGTCATTAGGAGATCGATAGTCCTCGGAATAATGAGTCAAAAATTCGTGGTCATCAAAATTGATTGGCGACAATTTTTGCATCCTAAGGTAAAAATATAGGTAACCGCTGCGTTTCACGCAAGATAGAAAATCGAATCAAAAGGATTATTTTGATGACAACTCCCGGATGCAGCTATTCTAGCTCGATGGATGTGCGTGATGCGTTCTCGAAAAATTGAAGGCGCTTTGACTTCGCCTCACCACGATAACCACGCTCTTTGCCAACATGGTATAACGATGCATATGAAATGAAGACTTTTTTTTCTAGAAAATATGTATTTCAAAGAAGAGAAATTCAAAGTATACGCGACATCGGATGTTGCTAAGATTTTGCGACTATGTATCTCAAGTTTGGCGCAAATCCAGTGGCCAAATATTAGCAATTTGGCCGGGGAAAAAAAATGATCAATCAATTTGTTATGCAACGAAAATTATTCACGTGTTTTACAGTGACAGAGAACAAGCATTATTTCAGCAACAAAGGATGTTATGAATTCATACTCTTTATTTGACAATGAGGCAATGAGGCATTTGAGCAAGGAGCCAATGCATGAAAGTGTTTTGTGAAATATTAATGGAGTTCCTATTCAAATTTACAAGATGACAAAATTCCCTGGACCGCGGCGAGTGCAAACAGGTATTTTAGCTTCAATAGAGAAGTAATGTATGTTGTAAAGCGCCTCATGAGTTTGGAAAATACTGTATTTTTACAATAGTCAATAACCATTTCCGCGATGAAAACGAGGAAACTTATCAATAAACCCATTACAAGGCTAATGAAGGCTAACTGTAAATCATTGAGACTAAACGGCCTCGGTTCACCATCATCCTTCGGGGGCGGCGCGGCTTCGAACATACCGTTGGCCATGGTACGTTCTAAAATCTTGATGAAGATCCCCGACTCAAACAAGTGCATGATTTTCCGCTTTAGAATATCCGTGAAAAACGAATTCCTCAGAAACTGAAACATGAAAGGTTTTGCCAGCAAATATTCTTGAACTCTATGGTACTCATGTTTCTCTTTCATCGGCCATGCGTTCACGAGTATGTTTTCTTTCGAAACGAGAGATTTCGGAATGGTCAACAAAAACGCATCCGCCTCCATTATTAAATGCACATTACTAACGAATTTCTGAGTTAAATCCAGGACCTCAGATGTCGCCTTTGATATTCCCACGGCATCTGACTGCAGAATTGCTAGGATACGTGAATCATCGCTGACGTATCCACCCAACGTATAAGTATAAAACTTTAAATTATTGACAAGCTTACGCTTCAGTGCTTCTGACACATCGAGTGTGGTAAAAAGTATGGACGCTGACTTGGCATCTCGTGCCTGAATGAGGAAGTCAGAAGCCTCCAAGTCCTTCAACGAATCGATTTCCGGATATTGAACCGTGTCTGTGATGAGTGACGTCATACAACTCAGGAAAACAGATGAGATGATAAGGGCAGAGAAGCTGAAAATAACAAAGAGTATCTTGCCGGTGTAGAGACGTCCTAGTAGTAAGATAGGAGGGCTTCCGCAGATGAAATATGTGTACACAGTGAGAATCACTGATGTACTTTCATACTGAAATATCTCTATCTCAGAGTAGAGACGGGGAAATACTTTAGAATGTGCGTGCTGGAAAACAAATTGCATAGAAATGAATACTAAAATTGTAATGATAATTAGAATCCAGACGACAGGGGTGAAACTTTTAAAACCAACCAAACTCTGAGGGAGCAAACTGCTGTGAGGAGTAAGGATACACATGACTTGGGTCTCCAACCCAGCTGAAAATTCGAATCTCGAGTGATCAATTTCATCCATAGTGTCTCCGAAACTCACCATGAGAAGGTCAATGTTGAATAGTTGCCCCCGCAGGAGACCTCCCGGGCCATCGTACATTAATAATGAATCCTCGTATATTAATTTACAGTTCATCGATCTCTCAAGATCGTCAAGTATTGGGGTCAAACTCCATATCATATCGGATTTAAGATCTCCATCTTCAGCAGATTCTCCGTCATGGTAATTTGTAATTACTCTTAAAGATTTTCTGTGCAAGTTTTTCAAAGAAAAGTCGAAAAAACTATCACCGTCTTGTCCGACGTGCCAAATAATTTCACCTGCGAAAGGATCATACTTGCTGCAGCCGCTCGTTTCACAAATGACCATTTTATGGCCCCTGAAGAAGCGCCAGGCAAATTTGAAACATAAGAGTAAGGTTTCGTACCTGCTTGGCAGCGAAGTTCCGTTTTTTGAATTCTGGATAATTCGTCGTGACTTTTTCTGATTAAATAATCCCTTCATGCTACGAGTGCTCTGTCCTTCAATGAGAGGCATGAAAATCAGGTGATTCATGGAGTTCCAAATTG